AAGGTTAAGGATATTTTTTAAAAACACACTTATTATGTCATGAGAATTATTTAAACATGTCTTTCAAACTTTGTTTATTTTTTTATGTTTTAGTTTCCGTAGTATGAGCCTAAGAGACAACAAACTATGCATGTATAATTCCCGTATCTCCATGATACCTTATTCGTAAGGATTGGATTTGGTTGCATGTAATTTTTGTCTGGGTTAAGAAAGAGATGCAAGTTAGTAAGTTAAGTAGCATCTCGCAACAAAGATAAAGTGTTTTCGAAAAATATTAAGAGTTTTTTGAAAATAATAAGCAAAGATTTTACTTTGATTTTCATAATTCAAGTAATAGTAGGCGGGATGTTACATTTTCCGCAGAGAATCTCTCTAGACATATCTCGCGGGTTTACAAGGACGTAAACGGAGAATACAATCAACTCACGGTTCATTTCCGATTTGTTACCGGTCCGAATGTGTTTTTTTCAACAAAACGTCCAAATATAGTCCTGTATTTATGCTTCTATTTTATTTATCACTCGTTTTTGCAAATAACATATCAAATTTATCTAGGGGGGTGTATTCAATTAGGACTTTTAATGACTTTTTAAGACTTTTTAAATAGATGACTTTTGTGGACTTTATGCAACTTTTTAATGACTTTGGTGGATTTTGTGGGATTGTTATGAAGACTTTTTAAGACTTTCAATATAAACTTTTTGGGACTTTTTAAGACTTTTATATAATTCTTTAATATAATAATATATTTGTATAAATGCTTATAAAAAATATTATGTGCATAATAGCTAGTATCTATCAAGTCAAATTAGTAATTTATAAATTATAATATTAATTTAAAATGTTTTTATGATATTAAACACTATCCACAAGAATGAAAATAAGAGAAAAAAATATTATAACAAATAAAATCGATATGAAAACAAAAAATGAAAAACATTCAACAATCGAACCAAAAAAGTACAGTAGTTATCTTATTGACATTGTACGGGAATTAGAAAAATAAAAAAGAGCAAAAATAAAATAAACAATACATCAAATATTTCCAACATCATTCCACATGTTCGTTGCCAAACTCAATCTCCATGCATTTGCAGCTTCTCTTTCAGTTTCTTGACTCTCAAAATATGGTCCAAAATTTTGCGCTTCATCTTCTGCTGAAACTCCATCTTCAACATCAACTGGAAATTCGTCAGACCGACACTCTTTGCGCAGAAAATTATGTAATCCTGCGCAAGCTAAGACTAGCTCTGCTTGTGTCCGATATGGGAAAGGAGGGGCTGCTTTGAAAATTGTGAAACGGGATTTAAATATGCCAAATATTCGCTCCACTACATTCCTCAAAGAAGCGTGACGAAGATTAAATAGTTCCTTTGCATTTTCAGGATGACGCCCTTGACCAGAAAAATCTTGAAGGTGATATCTAGTACCTCGAAAAGGAGCCAAAAATTGACGCCGATTTGGAAATCCACAATCCACGAGAAACCATTTACCTGAATATAAAATAATTAATTGTTAACTCATAAGTCATATCAGAAAAAAAAAATGTATATATGAATGAGTTCTTTTTTATTTTTTTTAATCATACCTTGAGGTACTTTGAGTCCATTTTTCCTAGTTAAAGCATCACTGAGTATTTTGGAGTCATGTGCTGAACCTTCCCAGCCGCTAAGTACATAAATGAATTCTAGATCAAAGTTGCAAGCAGCCAAAACGTTTTGTGAAATAATCCCATGGCGATTTCTATGACTTGGGGCATTTTTTTCAGTCACCATTGCCGGAATATGAGTTCCATCGATAGCTCCAATAGCATCCTAAATAACCAAATGTTTTGTAAATAATGATAAAAATAACAATGATAAAATCACTATCTAACAATAATACTAACACCAAATCTAATTTAAAAAATAATACCACTTACCTTGAAATAAGGATAAAATCTTGTGCTCTCTCTTATTTTTTCTGGGACTGTAGATCCTGGCTTGACCATCATATCAACGGCAAGCTTTTTTAATATTTTTAGAACCTTGTTGAAATTTCGGCTTGCTGTGAAATGAGACCGGCCGTACATTTTACGAATAACACAATAACGACTATTTTGACCAACGATGAGCAAGAACATTGCAAGCATTTCCTCGATACAGATGTACCTTGTATCTTCTAGTAATTTTCTTTCTCTTATGATGCAAGATAGTTTTAGAAACACTTGAGGATACATCCTATAAATTTCTCGAAAGTTATCTGGGTCTTCTCTTAAAATTTTATTTATATAATCATGCCCATGACTTGTTACCGGTCGCCTTGCCAATGAGCGGTTTGCCCCTTGAAGAGAGGAAGTGGTTATATGCTCGTTCAACAAGCAGAAAATTGTTTGAATTGCCAAGCACAACAACCTATTAGCTTCATGTAAAGTCTCTTCATAGTCATTTTCCTCATTCTCTTCCATGATGGTGTCATTGTCTCCATGCATCATGTTATCAGACATTATGTGAATACAAGTACCTAAAAAAGAAAGAGCGAAAAAAAAACATCATCATCAATGGTATGAAAGGCTTATCAAATAACAATAATATTAATTTCAAAACATCATCGACATAATAAATAAATAAAAAAACATTGGATTGGTTAATATCCAAACAAAGTTCAAATTCCATATGCATATATCCTTAAGGGAAAATAACAAATGCTATGTCAAAAAATCACTGTTAAAAACATCAACCACTAATTATGTCACATGGAGCTAGAATAGATCATTTTAATTTATATGCAATCCATCTCAAACGTTCTTCTGGTGCCATATTCCAAAACTCTGCTTTCTTTGCTCTAGTATTAAGCAAATCAAGGACCTTGAAGCGGGAATCGTCATCCAAGTTTGGAATCTCCTTTATAATGCCCCAACAGTTATACTCTTTAGTGTCAACAGACTCAAGAGCACGGACAATCTTGTTAACACTTTCCGTGAGGTTGTCAGAGTCAGATGCAGTGCTTTTAGGGTTTGCTTCAAAATTAGTTCTGTTTCGCTTTCGAACGGATGGACGTTTTTCTGAACTTTTGTGTTGAGCGAATGGTGGAGAGTGCATCGGAGATAATGGCATATCGTCAAGAGGGTTATTAGTGTTAACGAACACCTCGGAATCTGGATCAAGCATCGGGTCGCCTATGGAATTAATATTTTCCATTCTTTCTTCCGTCTCAAAAGTCGTTTCTTCAACATCATCGCCTATTGCAATTGAGTTTGTGCCAATAGCAGTTCCACATCCAACAGCAATTCTCAGATCTTCATAATCAGAAAAAGTGTCTGTCTTGTAACTCGTATCCCCAGGATGAGACTAGTAAAAGAAAAAAAAAGTCATTTAAGCACTATGATATGAAATATTTTAATCATATACTATCAATAAAACATGCTTACCCTAAAGTATTCGTCCCACACATGCTCATCAGCAGTAAATTTCTTGGACACGTCGTTCCAGCCAAAGCCCGAGTTATGTCGCATAAGCTTGGCATATTTATCGTATTGCTTCTTAAACCATTTTACACGACTTTTATATTGAGAATACGTCTTCTCAGTTCCAAGCTTTGCATTAAGAGAGGGCAATATATGTTTCTCTACAGTTACTTTACTCAAATTTCCAGACTTATCACGCCATCCACGCTTGGCTGCATCAACTATGAGTCTAAGCAGTTCATTACTCTCTTCAGATGTCCATATTTCGTACCTCTGAACTTTTTCATTTCCTTGTGATGAATCTACCATTGCTATATAAAAGAAAGCATACAAAAGACTGAGCACATATATATGTGCATATGACTATATACAGTGAAGTGAACAAGATGTATTTCTAGACTACCTGATCATATATAGTTCACTCTAAACTCAATTGTATCCCATTTTATATATTTTTTAACACTTTTTGACTGCAGTTCTTGCTCAGTCAATCACTACTAAATCATAATTTCATTTAACAATTTCAAGCATACATCATAATTCCTTGATGCAAAATACAATCACCAATCAAAGCCGTACGTGAATTGGATACTTGTACAATTATTTGCCTCATCATCACAGCAATTATTTCGAAAAATAAAAAAAGCCTAATCCAAACAATCCTATTTTTCCAAAAATAACAATCATATGGGGAAATTCACCCGGAACAGGATTCATGATTATGCGTAAAATAATTCCAGCAAATAATTGTGATATGAAAAAATTCACGAAACAACTATGATAACGTTCATCAGTTATTATATACACATAAATCGAAAAGTTTCAATCTCAAGCATAACACTGAAAACAAACAAAATATCAACTAGAAAAATTGAATCAATCACCAATTTGCATTCAATCAATTAACAAGATGTATAAAAAATTGATTGTAACCCTAGAGAGAAGAGTACGAGTAGTACCTTGTCGCCAAGAGAAAAAAGAATTTTCACGTTGAACAAAATCTCACAACTTTGGTGAGATTTTCACACATATTGATCTCTTTGTAATTTTGGTAAAAAGTCTCCAAGAATCCTTTTTTTTCTCAAAATCTCATAAAATCTTTCTAACTTGAATAACATGTAACTTATAGAGATTCTTGGAAAGTTTTAATTGAATACCTTAAAACTTTTGGAGACTTTTAAAAAGTCTTAAAAAGTATTAATTGAATACATGTAGACTTTTTGAGAGTCTCACAAAGTTTCAATTGAATACCCCTAAATTTTCAAAGTCTTAAAATGTCCCTAAAAGTCCTAATTGAATACACCCCCCCTAGTTTCTATAATTTTTTCCTAAAATATTTCATATACAAAATTAATAGTAACATTTTTTTTATATGAAAATAAGCTTATATTTATATATAACATTAGTGTAAAAATTATTATTAATGTTAAAACAGTACCCTAATGGTTGCTGATAATAAATTATAAGAATATATCAAAGTAATGTACGTTACCATATTTTTTCATAGGTTTTTTATTTGTTTGAACTATTTTTTAGTAAAATAAAGTTGGTTTGTATTTAACAATTTTAAAGCATCAAAATAATGACTTTAAAAGGGTAAATTGGCGTGTTATTTGACAAATAACTATGTAAATTAACGTAACAATAAATATCGTAATAATAAGTTAGATTATTACATTATAAAAAATAATGGATTTTATGAATATGACCCCCAAAAGATATGTAAGCTATAGATTCGGGTACTCAAAAATAAATTCTATCAGTTAAAGATCTGAAGTAACTGAAATTACAGTTTCCCAGCCTAAAAATTAAAATTTATCAATTTGGAGCTCGATAAAATGTAAAACTACAAATTTAAGACTTTAATAGAATTATCAATATTATACCAAAATATATTTAAAATATAAAAAAAACGTGAAGAGAGATGAAGAATATGAACAGTACAAATCACTTAAAAAATACCAGAATTACAAACAAAAAACATTTCAGTATAAA